CGAGGCTGCCCTTTCCCAAGCTGCGGTGCCCTGGATAACAGGCAGCCCCTGAGCTGGGAAGGTGGGCCAGGTGGTCGGAGCAGGTGCAGCAGGCCGGGGCCCTGGGTGCGGGAGCCCGGGGTGCAAGCTCTCCTGGCGGCTGGCTCCCATCCAGAGCAACACTGAGTTCACACCGAGGGGCTGGGAGCCTGTAAGCCCGCAGAGAATTCTGGTGCCCTGCTGATTGTGCTAAGAGCTGGTGAGACAGCTCCCCCGGCCTGGGTCTCGCTAGGGAGTTCTTTGTTTGTTTGTTTGTTTGTTTGTTTTTGTAGCTATGGTGTTCAATCGTGTCCCAGCAGAGTGAGGCCCCGCTTCTATTGTGCACCCTGTCCGGAGGGCAGTGTTGGTCAGTCCCGATGAGGACGACGGGCATCATGATGCACACGGCCGCGACCACGCGTTGGGCGATTTTTTTTTTTTTTTTTTTTTGGAGGCGAGGCTGGGTATCCTTCCACTTAATCATGTCTAAACACAGAATAAACAGGAAAGCAGTGGAGCGGCCGCAGTAAAACAGGCTCTCCAGAACCCTCAGGAAACACGTCGTTGGCATTCCATTATCTAACGTTAGTGAGCACGCACTGGGCGCCAGGCCCCGGGCTTCGGGTGTGCAAACTCAGTAATACGCAGGGCCCTGGGCGATCTTTCCTGGACAGCTAGATGTGAGGGCGAGATAAGGCCTGAATGCATTTTTTTTTTTCTAAAAACAAACCAAACCAAAAAACAACCCTGCACCCATCGCCACTACTCTCCTCAATTGGATGCACAGCAGACATGACATACTATTAATTTTTCATAAATGTTCAGTGTCACCATAATGAGAAACGGTCCTTGGCAAGACTCTGCTGTACCATCGTCGTGGGACATATGCGAGGTTTTCCACCTGACACCGACAGCTCCGGTCGGGGGGGCCCCGGGCTCTCATTTCTGCTTCTGTTTTGATTATTATGATCTCCGCTCACCTCTATGGTGTCACCATACCACCATGCGGTGGCCCCTCTTCTATCATCATGTCGCTACAGACCCAGCAGGGCTGTTAGAATTACAGGGAGCATTAAAGCCAGCCGGTTCTGCATGAAGGTCGGAGGGGCTCTTCTCCAGAGGGAGCGAAGGAGTGAATTCTACAACTTGGGATATTTAATTCTGGTTGTGCTGGGAGGTTTCCTTGGCTTCTTCTGGGTTTGGGGATGGGTCTTGACCGGAGAAGGTACTAACTGGGTGAGAAGGCACCTTAGCGAGATGTATAAGCTCCCGGAAATCATGGACATCTCTGTCCTCCCCTCCCAAGGCGGACAAGGGATAAGAATTAGATAAACATTCTGTGGTCCAGCTCACCAGGACTGCTGGGAGGCCCCTGTATAGTCAACAACATTAGGGGAAAAATATTTACGTCTACCCTGCCTCGTGTTTTGTTCTTGGGTTCGGAGGAAAACGTCCCTAATCTTGACAAACAAGTTGACAGTGGAATGTTAGGGTTAGATGGAACCAGGTTTTCACTGAATAGCTGTGTGACCCGACAAATAATTTAACCTTTTCGAGCCTGTTTCCTCTGGGGTAAGATGAGGACTGTGGTGTTTGCAGTGCTTGTCATAGGGATTAAACGATATGACACATAGGAAGGCTCTGTGACACTGAGGACTCGACCCCGGAGCTGTCGCTGATGTCACCATCCCTGCAGTAATGACTGATGCTTCTCCACGCCTGGGCATCAAGACCAGAGCTCAGTCAAGGCCCAAGTGCTACCTGCCGCTCTGTAGAGGCAGGCACTGTGGGAAACTCCCAAATAGTTCTGAGCCCTGATTTCTCTATTTGTGCAACTGTAGATGATATGGGACTCAAAGCACGGCAAGGAATAAATAATCATGACACAAGCAAAAAAAATCTGCCCATCATCAAACGCTCAAAAATGTTATTCCTCCCTTAACTTTATCCTTAGACAAGAAATGTAGGTCAACAAATAGGAAACAGGCTGTGCCTTAAGTCCATTGTGCCCCATTCGGTTAATCCATGACTTGAAAAGTGCTAGGTAATGATAAAAACCACTTAATTCTTTTAAAGGAAAAATCCGACAAAATTTGCTTGTTTCAGAATAGCAACCCCCGTAATTAAAACAACTTGCCAGTTACGGAGTCGGCTTTAAGAACTAATCAAAGGTCACTCCTGATCCTACTGAATCCAGGAATTAACATTACACATTAAAATGTGACAATCTAGGGATCCCTGGGTGGCGCAGCGGTTTGGCGCCTGCCTTTGGCCCAGGGCATGATCCTGGAGACCCGGGATCGAATCCCACGTCGGGCTCCCAGTGCATGGAGCCTGCTTCTCCCTCTGCCTGTGTCTCTGCCTCTCTCTCTCTCTGTATGACTATCGTAAATAAATTTAAAAAAAAATTAAAAAAAAAAGTAAAATGTGACAATCTAAAACAAAACAAAACAAAACAAAAAAATAAATAAATTGTGACAATCTGATAGCCCTTCACCTGTTTACAGGTGACTCGGTAAAACTGAACCCGCTTGGAGAGACTACTCTAAGTTCAAGTTCCCCATTGGCCTCCACCTTTAAGGTAATGGGGGGATGGTTGGGTTTATTATTCCTTTTTCGGTTGTATTAATGTCTTTAAGAAGCCTTCAACGTTCCCTGCCGATTCTGTTAACTGTACTTCTGTGTGGCTGCCCGTGATGACCCGCAGAGTAACCCCGGCCTTGCAAGCGCTGACTTTCCGAGGCAGCGAACAGGAAAGGGGCCAACAGTGGGTTCAAAGAGGGAAAGGAAGTGGGGAGTCTGGACCCTGACAAGTTAATAACTCAACAGTGAGTGAACAAAGCTGAGAAAACAGCTGAGCGGCCTGGAGCAGAGGGGCTGTGGGTAGTAAGCCAGACAGCAGGGAGGAGAGGTGCCAAGAAAAGGCAGGCATTCCAGGCCAGGGCGTCGGTCTTAGGCAGGTCACTGGGGTCCAGAGAACTCCAGGCTTGCGCACGAGCTACGGAATCGCAGAGCCTCTGGACTCTGCAACGTGTTCGCTTCCTGATCTTTGGGAACCTGGGATGGTCACGCCTCTCTCTTTTACTTAACCATCCCCTTGCAGTAACATCCTCAGGCTTTCACATGAGAGAACCATTCACACTCAAAAGATCCAACAAACCAGAACGATCCTCCTGACTCGACATCTGCCATCAACAGGTGCCCTCTCGTCCACTCCCCAACTTTTTCTAAAAAGCTGTCAATACTCACTTACTCCATCTCCTTACCTTCAATTCCCAACCCCAATCCACTTCATTCTGGCTTCTGCTCCCTTCACTCCACTGAAATACCTCTTGCTAAAGCCACAAAGCTCCCCCATGCAATTAATGGGCATTTTCCAGCCTCCTCTTGCCTGCCTCCCCTGCTCACCATTGTTGAACACTCCCTCCTTCAAGCCTCTCCTCCCTGGGCCTCTGTGACACTATATTCTCCTGGTTTCTAGTTTTCTTCCTTCCCTTCAGCTCTTCACATACATGGGTTTTATTGGGGGCATCCCGACTCCACTTGACCAGTAAACAAGAATAATGTTGTTCCTCAGTGAGCATTTTGGCTTTCTTCTATTCATTACATTCTTTCTCCCTGGGCGACCTCATCCTCACCCACAATTTCAGCTGGCACATAGCTTTGGATGACTCATCTGCTGGCCCTGACTTCTCCTCAGAGCTGCAGACCCACACCTCCCACCATCTAACTGATACCTACACACTGATGGCTCAAAGACACTTCAACCTCAACAGGGTCTTCTCATGGTCTCTTCCCGCCGCCAAACTTGGCATCATTATCCTCCACCTTGAATGGAAACCCAAAATGCCAGAGCCATCCTGGACACCTCCAACGGGTCACCAAGACCAGTGGACTTTACCTAAGCACCTTGTGATTATGCACCTTTCTTTCCATCTCTCTCCAGAAGCCACCGTAGTGCAAGTTACTACCATCTTCCCCCAGACCCCTGCGATGACCTCCAACTGGTCTACTCTTGCTCCTCTTCATTCCGTGCTCCATACTCAAGCTAGAATTATTCTTTAAATGAAAATAAATAAGAGGGATCCCTGGGTGGTGCAGCGGTTTAGCGCCTGCCTTTGGCCCAGGGCACGATCCTGGAGACCCGGGATCGAATCCCACGTCGGGCTCCCAGTGCATGGAGCCTGCTTCTCCCTCTGCCTGTGTCTCTGCCTCTCTCTCTCTCTCTCTCTCTGTGTGTGTGTGACTATCATAAATAAATTTAAAAAAATAAAAAAAAAGAAAATAAATAAGAGTGTGTCATCCCTGTGTTTAAAGCACATCAAAAGCTTCCTATTGCCCAATCCTTGAGGAGGATTCCATGACCTGCATAGCCTGGCCCTATCAACCTGTCCAGACTCATCTTGTATCACTCTCCTCTCTGGAGGGTAATCCCTCGTGTTTTCAAAAGCTCTCTGCTCTTACTACAGGCCTTTTACACATGCCATTCTTTCGGTCTGAAATACTTCTCCCGCCCTACCCTGTTGCCTAGTTTTCCTTTATAATCCCAAAGTTATTTCTGCCGAGAAGCCTTCTTCCACCATGTGAAGCAAGAGTTCTCAAACCTGAGTGTGTACAGTAGTCTCCTGAGGACGTGTGAAAACAGAGGCTGGACCCCACCTCCAGAGTTTCTAGTCCAGTGGCTCCAGAGTGGGAAATGAGAATGTGTATTTCTAACCAGGTCACAGGTGGTGTGGAGGCTGCTGGTCCAGGGAGCACACTTTGAGAACCTCCTACCCAGGGGATACCAGCCTTTGTGGTATAAGCTTTCACAGCCTTACATGCCTCTCCTTCAAACACCGTCATGGCTGAAATCTCACATTTCAGCATGACTACTTGACAAACTCCTCTTGCTTCTCCACTAGACTCTGAGCTCCAGGAAAACAGGGACCTTAGATGATTTATTTATTTTTTTAAGAGATTTATTTATTTATTTGTTTGTTTATTTGAGAGAAAGAGAGAGAGAGAGAGAGACTGCGTATGAGGGGGAGTAGGAGAAGGGAGAGAATATCCAAGCAGACTCCAACGTGGGGCTCAACCTGAGATCATGACTTAAGCCAAAACCAAGAGCTGGATGCTTAACTGACTCAGCCAACCAGGCACCCCTGGACCTTGAATGATTTTGCTTGTGACTATACCACTGGGCCCAGCTCAGCTCTGGGCATAGTAGATCCTCAGTAAATATTTATTGGGGGAATGAAAGGTGAATAATTGCAAAGAGCATGGAGGAAAACACGTGTACATTGAAAACCTCAAACAATGACTCTGTGAGCCACGAGTCAACATCAAATCGTTACTTTTCAATTCCAATATTGCAAGAGCTCAGTCTTTAGAGGGGAAGGAAAGTCATGAAGGACCATAAACTCCTGAAGTCCCGGGACTATGTCATCCCAACCCTCTTCCACCCTGGGGACTGATCTATCCCAGCTAACTGGGAGTGCCAGAAGGACACAGGGATGGCAGGAAGGGATCCCCGGGGAAACCGTCAGACAGCGAGACAATAGGAGGCTGCCAGAGAGCTGCCTGCCAGGCAACAGGAAGCTTCAGAAGGCCAGTTTTATTGAAAATAAGGCTGATGATAAGCAAGATCAAGAGATTTGTTGAGGAGAGAGAGATTGAGACAGGCCAAAGGAAAACCCGTTAGGAGGATAAGATGACTCTAGAAATTGTTTAATTCTGATTATTTTTCATCTAAAAAATGAAAAGAAAAATAAAGAGCTGGTAAGAAAAGAGTACAGGTTCTGCGAGAGGGTAAGTGGAAATGTCAAGAAATGAGACATTGCAAAGGCGAGTCATTAAGCTCTCAGGAAGAGTCAGCACAAGGAGAGTCAAAGGCAGGGTACTAGTCCTGGTCGCATTTTCTGGTAGCTTCTCCAGAGATGGAGAAGAGGGAAGAGAGAGAGGTGCCTGGGACATATGAGAGCAGAAAGGCGCTGTGGAAAGAAGGAATATTATTAGCAAAGAATATGATGGCCCCATCTCTGGCAAAATGGCACACAGCAGAAATGGTCTTCTGAGGACCAGACCGTACACAAACCCAAATGCTCCATGGGGCAGAAGGCAGAGGGTGGCCTGGAACGAGGGAGGACGCAGGTCCCCTTGAGGCAGCCAGTGGCTGCTGAGATTTCCTTCCAAGAGTGTCCATCGCAGATCCTGAGGCAGGACATAGAGCTATGTCCTCAGTCCTTCCTTCGTGGTGGCATCGAAGGGCTCCTTCTGGGCTGCTCAGTTCCTCAGACATCCTGCTTGCCAGTCTCAGGGACTGTGACAACCACCCTTGAGCGTCACGATTTCGAGAGAATTCTGGAGGTCTCCGGGAAAGGCCAGTGTTTATTGGTCAACCTGCAGACATGGTGAATTCTTGGTCCTGGAGCAAAGTCCAGAAAAGAGTAAGGTGATCGGGGCCTCCCAGTGGCCCAGTCAACAAGCAGCCCATGGCTGGGTCAAGGCTGTCTCCATCTGGGGGCAGACCCAGGATGGCCGTACATCTGGAACCTCTGGCAGGGAAAGTAGGAGATGTTTTAACAGGAATTCTTTTCGATATGCATTCATACGCTAAAGGCCTAAGGTTGGTGGACAACTTCTGCTGGGTCTGGTCCTACTTTGGGGGGAGGCCATGAGAGAGAGAGAGAATGCAGGGCAATAGGAAGGGGATGGATTTAGAGGTCAGGTTTGGGTCCTACCTCTCTCACTCTTTAGTGGTGATGCGGGATGCTGGCTGATTCCCTCTCTAAGCCTAGGTTCATGATCTGGAGAAATGAGCCCCAGAGCTTCTCTGCAGGGATTCCGTGACGAGAAGAGCAAAGGTACCTGGAGGGCCTGGTGTCATGACAAGCCCTCAGGAAATGGTAGCCAGCGCGGTTCTATGAACAGGTCTTGCTCACCCCCATCTGCTAGTTTATAAAGAATCCTTTCTACAGATAGAGAAGAGGCTTGAGCTGCCCCTGCGGAGGCGACCCCTCCGACCTCTGGCTCACAAACCTGTCCCCCACCTCTCCGGGTGGGCGCTGGCACAGCCACAGCTCCCTCAGGACCTCAGGGCTATCTATCCCAATACAAGTTTTCTAAGTCAAGTCACTGGGAAGATGGAAGTGTTACCTTTCTTTCCCTGTGTGCATTCAGAATCTTGGGGGGCTGAGGGGTGGGGAGACGGTGTACCAAGGGTCATAAGCATAACGACAGTAGCAACAGGCTCCTAAGGTCCTAGGAGCTAGGGACCATCCTTATGTTTTTTAAGAATGGGAGAGCCAACGCCTAGAATGGGCATAAGTTGGACGAGGCCACCTGGCTACTAGGTGGCAGAGCCAGGTCTCAAGCCCGGGGGCCTGGCCCTGATGCTGGCACACACACGACTTGGTCCTTTCCCTCCTCTGCACTGTTCTTAACAAAAACAGCCTAGGGAGCATCGGGGCGTTGGTCCTTCCAGAGACACAGAGATGCCTTCTGTAAAGGGAGACAGTTGGACCCCCTGACACGCAAGGCTGGGGACCCGGGAAGGGTTCAGGCCCAGCCGAGAACATCTCGGGGAATCACTTCTTCGTATCTGGTCTGAATAGGCTGTCCTCAAGGACGGACCTGGCTGTGGCATGCTATCCCCCCTCTCCCCCCGCACTCACAGGCAGGCAGGGGCCCTGGACGATACAGGAGCCTGTCGTCTGTTAAGTGACACAAAGGAAATGTCTCTGCCCAGAAACAGCGCAGCTACTCGCAATTCGTGTGCCAAACAAACCTAGCAGGCCCTTTGCTGAGAGGCATTGGCTCCGTCATGATCGAGGCCAGCGCTGGGCCAGACGCAGCTTCCTATCTGATGGGCAAGGAGAGTCCAGATGTCCGTTCCCTTCTTGGGACGAAAAAAAATCATAATATCCAGCAACACACGCACGCGCACATAGTCACACACACACATAGACACGCTCTCATGCACACACATCCTACTAAAACCAGGACAGATGCCCTTTTATTAATTTCCTCCTAAGATTTGAGCAGAGCTCAGCTACTTTTTTCTTTTTTTAAGGTGAAAATGCACTAGTCTAGATGTTTCCTTCTTCAAATACACTTCTTTTTTTTTTTTTTTTGGTCTGGTGATAGAAGTAATATATGTTCATTGACAAAACTGGGAAATAGAGAAAAGTCTGAAGGAAATAACAGGCATTGGTTAATCCTATTACCCGAGGGGTTTCCCTTTGATGGGGGATGCAAGCTCACCTTGTTTCGAGAAGACCCAGGCCTCGGTAGCCATTGCAATTCGCATCATCTCTAATTTAGGAAAGGAGTGTCAGGCTTGGCCACAGCGAGAGGAAGAAAATTGAAATCAGGAATCCGCGAGGGAGAGACAGTCTGAGGGAGGGACCAGGCCGTGGCTGGGATGTAAAAGTTTCCCTCTGGGAACCAAGGGGTCATGGCATCAAGTGAGCACTCCGTGAACCCCAGTGGAAGTCCCTGAGGACCTGAGGGTGCGGCCCAGAAGGGTGAGGCCCTGTTGCAAAGAGCGCGGCCTCCGACTGGGGCCCTCTGTCTCGAGTTGCCCACTGGGGCTGGGAGAGGGGAACGACTGCCACGGGGTACGAGACAGGTGGATATGCTCACTGCCCAACCGAACTGTCTGGAACAACCAACACGTTTAAGGACAAGACCTAATTTCATGGAGTCCAGGAAGCCTGGACTAGTTCTAGTCCCAGGGGAAAGCCGAAAAGGCCGAAGATGGTTGTCCTGTCAACACTGTGGCACTAACATTAGGAAAAGGCTGGGCCACGGGTGGCAAAGATGAGCCTGGGACCCTGCTGTGGCGGATGTTAGGAGTCAACTGCAGCAGATTCCCCCCCCCCCCCAAAAAAAAACCCCAGAGCTTGGCTCAGGCCTCACAATCCTTCCCAGGAAAGTTCTTAAAATTGCTGAGGGCAAAGGGGAGAGGAAAACCCAGGGCTCTGGGGTCCCCCCTGCAGTGACTGGCTTCACTGCCGGTCTGGGGCACTGCCTGGGGATGGCAAGTGGCTTCCAGAGATAGCAGCGGGCCTATCTGGGCGACGGCATCTCCTCAGACACACACTCCGGGGCGCGCTTGTCTCTGAGTCTCAAGATAAAAACAAGCGGTGCTCGGGAGCTATGGCAGGTTCTCAAGGAGGCGGGCTCCAGAGGGGACCCGGACGGCCAGGGTGGGCTGCTTATCTGCAAAGAGGCCCCACCGCCCGCAGAAATGGAAGATAATGTTTTTATAAAGAGGAGAGAGAAAAACACAGCAAAGCCTCTGAGCATCCTTTGGGCTTCCGCGTGCATCTGGGGTCCTTGGAAATCATGGAAGGACAAACGCCACCTGCCAAGTCCCAGGCCAAGACTTGAACGAGGAAAGTTTCTGGCCTTGGGTGTGGGGGGCACCTGGGTGGCTCAGCAATTGAGCGGTTGAGCGTCGGCCTTCGGCCCAGGGCGTGACCCTGGGGTCCCGGGTTCGAGTCCCGATCGGGCTCCCCGCAGGGAGCCTGCTTCTCCCTCTGCCTGTGTCTCTCAGGAATAAGTAAATAGAATCTTAAAAAAAAAAAAAAAAAAAAGAAAAGTTTCTGGCCTATTTGGATTATGCATCTGGGGAGACTCATAACAGGCTTTCTGAGAAACAGGTTTTGGGTTTTGGACAGAATGTATATACTGTGAATAACAAAAGAGCAAATGACACAAAGAACGGTGTGGCCCCGAGATGTCCTATCCGTGTCCTATCCAGGTGATACCGTGTCTCTAAAGAACACACTGTTCCCAAAGCCTTTGTATCTCGCAAAGAAAACTTCTGCAGCCAAACAGTGGTGTGATCAGGTTGCCTTAAGGAAATGCAGCTTCACGGTCCATTTCTGATATTCAGCTTAAAGTACAAGCCCCTAGTGGTTAATTCTAGTCGGCACGTGGGTGCTTCCTTTGTCCTGGGTGGGGAGGTCTGAAAGATTTTGCTGCTTTATCATCAGAAAATAGTCTCGTGCACCCAGAGGGTTATCACTTACATTGCTGACACCCATCCTCGGAGAGGCAGGGCCTCTGGCTTTTTGAAAGATCAAGAGTGACGCGAGTGGCTGAGCCTGGAAGGAGGAAAGGCAAAAGGAAGCCGAGCCCCCCACGGCACCCGAGCCCCAGCTGCAGAGCCACTGCTCTCCACGAGGGCTACGGTGACGGAAGCTGCAGCTTTCAAGCTTGCTGGGGGCCAGCACCGATGTCCCTGGAGTCACTCTGCCAGGGGAGGCTGGGGAGGGCCCCCCGGGATCCCTCTTCGATCAGTAAGGAAATCGATAGAGAGTCAATAATGCAGCCAAGGTTGTCCAGCTGATGGCCACTCCAGGCTTTGAACCTACCTCTGGCACATTCCAGAGCCCTCCCCCTCTCCGAGGCCTCTTAACCTCTTATCCTCTTACGGCCAATTGGTCAGGTTTCAAAGAAGTGTGTTGCCCAAGAGCCCTTTTGCAACCATGGAGAGTGAAAATCTACTTGCTCTGAAGAGGGGTGTGTTTGGGCAGCTCCCCCAACTGCGTCTCAACAGGGCCACGTGGTGGGGGCTACGACCGTGTGCCTGGGCTGGACTCCCAGCCTGGGGGCCTCAGCGCAGCCCTGGGGGGTCTGGCGCCCTTATCTGATTTCCTGGGGAGGGGGTGAGCATTCTCTGGGTGCATGTCTGCACCGGGGTCCCTGGGTGCCTGCGCTCTGTGCCCTCACCACTGCCCTGATTCCTCTCCCTCCTTTCTCACTATCTGGCTCTTATCAGCCCCACAGGCATGAAAGGCATGTGCGGAGAATGAGGAAGGCCTGCAAAGGGGCCGGGAAGCAAGGGGTCAAGCTGCGACACATGGCTCCCCGTGGTTAAGGGGTCCGGTGACCTGGAGGTTTGTTACCTCGCTCTTGCACACACACCGGAGTAAGGGTGACCAGTAAGCGAGCGCATATACTTCAACGCCAACGTGTTCCCAGCCTTAATCCTTTCCCATAATCGAGCTAAGAACACAGGTAAGATGCACATTCCTTATAACTTGCCCGACCTGCGTGTGTCTCCATCCCAGGCCCACGGACTCTGTTTCTAAAAAGATGTTATACTATATGTTGGCAAATCGAACTTCAATTAAAAAAAAAAAGTTTCTAAAAAGAGCACTTTGCCCAACCAAGCATCACGAGAAAAGTGGGTTAACAGAGTGGAGTAAGGAGAGTGAGTCTTTCAAGAGCATCAAGTCCAGGATCAACACCTCGTCAATCTTGGAAGATTCCATAGCTTTCCTGTCTGTATAAAAACATACAAACTATGAATCTCCAGCCACGTGGACTCACTCACAGTGACCAGGAGCTTCGATCACCCAGCACCAGGGAGGCTCGGGGCACGAAGCAGAGGACCTGAGGAAATCCTATTCTTTTATAGGCAGAGAAGACACTGGCCCTGCAACCCTCCGAAGGAAAAGCTCGGGAGGGACAGGAGGCTCCATACGATGAGCTGAATCGTGACTAATCCCAGGGAGGTGGCAACAGGGACAGATCTAAAGGAGTTACTGTGTTTTTTTTTTTTTTCATGACATGTTTGGATAGCAAAGAACACGTACAAAGATAGAAGGAAGGGCACAGTACCAAGGACAAGTTGAGAAGAGTGACACATTTCTGTGAGAACAGTGCCCGGCTTGAGCTGAGGCTTGCAAAAAAGAGAGAGAGAGAGAGAGAGAGAGAGAGAGAGAGGTGGTAGTGGATTATTTTTAGTTATGATTAAAAAAGAGATGAAGCCCATTATCTAGGGATCACGGTAGCATGTTAACAGAACCCAGAGAAAGTGAGATGACCCAACTCCTAACTAGCCTCACTGTAAAAGGGGCAGAGGAAGACCTAAAGCACCATCCCCGGAAGAGCAAGGGACCTGAAGGCAGACGGTGTGGCATGTCCCTGATCGCCGTGTCCTCTCCGCCACTTTGAGTCTGCATCTCCAGGCCCTGCAAGCGCCTGTCCCAGGCCCCTGGACAAACCCCCAGGAAGGATAACAGAGCCAATGTAGTTAATCCCTGGAAAAAAAAAAAAAAGAAAAATGCATGGAGGCTGGGAGGGCTACAAAAGATTGGTGTCAGCAGATGTCCCAATTTACTCGGGGCAGGGTGGGGGGGGTGGTGGTTGGTGGGAAGAGACACGGTTCCTACTATATAGATCAAGAGCCTGGCAAGATTATAATCAAAATGCAATTTCGAGAAGGTTTTTAAGAAGCCCTTTGAAAAGGATGGGCATTGAGAACCAACACAGGTTTGAGACTTTATTGACTGAACCCGCCCTCTGTGCTACCTAACGATGCAGACTGGGGTTTGGGCGGGGGCTGTTTAGTGTGTATCTTGATGCCCAAAATAAGAAAACAGTGGCTCTGTACCTATTAGGTTCCTGACAACCCTGGCTGCAGGATGACTGGGCTCACGTATGCCCAAGGCTTTGGCCATTCTTGAGCCCTGCATATAGCAGATTTCAGCCTAGGAGCCTTGTCACCTGGCATTCCCTCCTGTGGAATGCCCTTCCCTTTGTCTGGTGGTTTGTCCTTCAAAACTCCGCGCAAATAGCACCTCCTCTGGGAAACTTTCTCCTCTGCCCTCTACGATTTGGAAGTCCCTGCCCTAGTGTGATCATGTGTGTTCTCCTGTATTCACCTGTTGGAATCCTAACATCCAGTGCGGCAGTAGAAGGCAGGGGCTTTGGGAGGTGGTAAGGTCATGGGGGTGGAGGCCTCATGAGAGGGATCGGTGCTTTTAACTATTTTATTTTATTTTTTATTTTTTTATATAGATTTTATTTATTCATGAGAGAGAGAGAGAGAGAGAGAGAGAGAGGGCAGAGACACAGGCAGAGGAAGAAGCAGGCTCCATGCAGGGAGCCCGACATGGGACTCGAACCTGGGTCTCCAGGATTATACTCTGGGCCGAAGGTGGCGCTAAACCGCCGAGCCACCTGGGCTGCCCTAACTATTTTATTTTTTAAAAAGATGCTTTGATTTATTTGAGAGAGAGAGATCATGAGCAGGGGGGAAGGGCAGGAGGAGGAGCTGACTCCCTGCTGAGCCCAAAGGGGGGACTCGATCCCAGGATCTCCAGGATCATGACCTGATCCTGACACTGCTGACACTAGCGGACTGAGCCACCCAGGTGCCTGGCATTAATGCTCTTGTAAAAGACACCCCACAGATCTCCTTACCCCTCCTGCGATGTGAGGCTACCAGGAAAAGTCTGGGACCGGGAAGAGGGCCCTCACCGGACCATGCGGCACCCTGATGTGACTTCCAGCCTCCAGAACTGTAAGCGATACATTGCTGCTGTTCATAAGCCGCCTGGTCTGTGGGATTTTGTCACACGGGCCCAAAGAGCCTGAGACAATCCCTTATCCGTGCCCACCAAGCACCCTGGGCACGCTGCTATCATGGAACTCTCCCACCACGTGCAACTGCCAGCCTCCTTATCTGCCTCCCTCAGGGCATGCAGGCTCCTCAAGGGGTTTGCATTCCCAACGCTTGGGACAGCGCCAGGCACACAGGGGACCCCCGAGACCTGGTGACTGTTTGCAGGCATCTTGCTGAGACGTTCAAGGTCAGCCTGAAGGGAGTTGTCCCTAATGGTGTTCCGGAGGCTTCTCAGTGTCTAGACTCTCCTAGTGACTTGGAGGAGTTATGCACTTTCAGAGACTGTAAAGCTGGCGGAGGAGGATGATTAGATAAAAGGCTCAAGGTTCAAGACCTAACAATCTACAGGCTGGCCATAAAGCCTGAGAATGCAGATTATTTTTTTATGTGGATTTATTTTTCCTGATTTTTGTGTGTGTGTGTGGGGGGGCATGCTAAAGGCATACGTTTGTTTGTTCTATTTTTGGTTGAAAATCAGAAACAGATCGTCTGAGGCAATGCGTAACGGAGGACTATGCAGGTCATACTCCTTGTAAGCGTGTACAGTGCTCTGAGCCATGCACTGCTAATGGGGGGAGACCCTGAGCACATCACGGCATGTCACTGACCGTATTGCGCATTGCAATGTGGTATCGGCAAGCCATTTATTATGTATATTCTTTTACGTTTCTAGACTTCGTGGCTACCCTTGTAGAAAGACAACTGACAACCAACAGTAAAATTTTAATTCATGAAGCTTTATGTTAGATCTCCAAGAAAGTCAACTGGATATCTACAGTATGGGCCACATCTGGCTTTATTCATCCATCCACACATCCACGGATCCATCCAACCAACCACACCGAGCACTCACTACGTGCTAAATACTTACAAGAATGTACACACTTAGTGGATGACTAAACACTGCCTCCCCTGAGCTTATGTCCCAGGGGTGGAAAATGGATAATAAGTAAGCAAACTAAATAATGTCATATGTTGATGAGGGCCATGAATAAAACAAGACAATGTGTGATGGGGATAAGGGACAACTTTGGACTGGGGTGGGGGAGGAGGTGTGGAGATGCATCTCTGAAGCTTGTAGGACATTTATGTAAAGAAGAGCCTGGTGGCGCTGAGCTGGTCATCAGCTCGATGTGAGTCTCGGATGTGCTGTGACTGTTGAAAATAAACTGAAGCTCGGGTCATATTAATAGAAGCAGAGTGACAGGATGAAGGTCAGTCAGTGACAATCCTACTGCCTCTGAAGCAGTCACACCATTTCTAGACTTCTGCAGCTGCAAATGCTATAAATTTCAAGAAAGTCATGAAGTGCATCCAGAAGAGGGGGGGGGGTCTAGAAACCGCATCTTATGAGGCGAGGTTGAGAGAGGTAGGGAAGGAGTTTAGTTGGCAGAGTTTAAACTCATCTTTGAGAGAGCCGAAGATTCAAGATGTTCAGAAGAGAGTGAGTCCGTGCCTTGTGGTGTTAGGAGTTCACCCCTGAACTACTGAGAAGACAGCACAGCGTGTTCAAAAGAGGGCAGATGTCTCTAGCAGAATTAGGGCCATACAGAAATGGGGTAGGTATTTTGAAGAAGTGAGCCCCCCACCCTCAGAAGTATTCTAGCAGAGGTTAGATAACATCTGTTAAAGATGAGAGATCCCCGTAATGGGTAAAAGATTCCTATTGAGCTGCATCCTTGGGAACGGGTACAGTTTTGTTTCTGTAAGTGAGAGATCTCGGGAGCCTCGGAAGGCCTGTCCCGCTAGAAATGACCTCGTTTCTCCCCACTGACCACTCTTGCAGAGACCCAATCTCGGGGACTGAGGATTACAAGACTCCTAATAACAGAATTCAACTAGAAACAACTGCATGATCCCATGCTCAAGCCTCCCGTGTGTGTGGTGTGTGTGTGTGTGTGTGTGTGTGTGTTTGCACGTGAGTATAAGCAAAGTCTCTGAACTTACAGTAAGAGGCACAGGTCAAAGGCCCAGTTCTCCCTAGGAGCTCTGCGGCATTTCCTCGTAGGGCAGAAAGCCTCTCCCTTTCTCCGGAATCTGGAGCTATCTTGGGCAGACAGGTGCTCCGCTCTCTGTTCTAACTGCCCTTTTTAGGCCACGTTTTCACACAAAGGTGTAACTGAACTCTCAAGTGTGTACAGCCGACTTAATTGCTCCGTGTAATCATCTTACGATTATGATTTGATAGTATATCAATTCTGTCCCTACTCATATTTGCTCTGCCGGCCTAGAGACTGGTTCAAAACCCACCGAGATGAAGGCTTCAGGCAGTGATTAACTTGAATCCCAGACCAATACATTTTTTTTTTCTGTCTATTTACTTGTGAAATGTGTTTCTAAAGAACAGAGCAGAACATGGGCCGTGAGGTCAGCGAAAAACCCATACCTGAGCCACAGACAACAAAAACAAACAGTGCCAACAGCCATGGTCCCACAGGATATTTCTCTTCTTGTGGCCTCTGAAAGGGAATGGGGGAAAGTAAGATTAGGTTCATTGATTCAGGAAACGTTTGTGGGGTACTGCTAGACGCTACTAACGGCTGGGGACGCCACAGTGAGGGAGACGGATCCCGTCTTAATGCCCAGTGGGCAGAAGTAGCTGAAGAAAGCCAACTGTAAAGGGTCCACAGAGGTGTGAACAGGCTCATCAATAACCTTATTTCTACTCCTGTAACGCAGTGAACTTGGTGGGCTTGAACATTCTGGGGATGGATGGGGGTACAAATACACAAACCAATACAGTGATTTGGGAGCCCCAAATGGCACTACTCCATTTGTTGAAGGCATACTCTATGCCAGGCTCTCCCCTGGGCAATCTCCAGCCCCTATTTCCACCACCCACAGCTCTGTGCAAGGCGTATTATCATCTCCCCACTTCTAGTTGGGAAACAGACACCCCAAGTCTGGTAGCTTGAGCAAGGGCTGGGATTTAGGACTGCCGCCTTAGAGAGAGCAAGGGTGTTTTCCACTGATAGAGTCATCTTTAATTCCTGAACCTGTGGATTCCAAGTAAGGTCACAGAACAGCCACTTTCTCAAAACCCTCTATGTGCCCCCCCCCCAAAAAAAAGTCGAGAAGTGGATGCCATGGAAATCCTTGGAATGACAGAAGCAGCACGGTGACCGTGAGTGGCTCTGCCAAGGAAGCAGCATTTTGTAACAAAGCCCCTGAACCTCAGTGAAGCTTATGCTTTGGGGAAATCTCTGCATTCCCTGGGGAGCAGAAGGGCACTACTGTGCCCACATGAACCTGGCCCTGTGTACCTCCTGCCCCCCTCAAACCAACAGCACAGACATAATAAGAATGACCATCCACAGCCTAGGTCTCTTTGCAGGTGGGGCCTGGACCTTAAAGTCAAATCGATCCATGGAAGGACTATCTTTTGGGGGGGGGCATCCGAAACAGTGGTGAGTTTCTCAAATAAAAAGGGTAAAAATCAGAGTGAAAAAAATAAAGAACTCACTACCATTTCTTCCTGTGTGTGAGCCAAAAAGAGGCTATCCCCAAGGTAAATTAGGGAACTCGTTGTCTCACAGATGGGGTCACAATCCTTTGGTTCTCGGCTTGCCCGTGACATTCTGAGAGAGCGTCCTGTCTTCTACCTCAAGTGGGTCCACTGACCACCTATCTATCGCCACAGGTTTTTTCTTGACAGCATATGTATTAGAGTTCGTATCTGTTTATTCTCAGGATCACGTGTTTACTGTCTGTCTCTCGGCCAGACCATCGGCTCACGAGGGCAGGCACTATGTCGTTTTCCTGAATCAATGTACAGCCATGGCTGGTACAGGATGTACACACAGGAGGTGCTCAATAAGTGCTCATCGAAGAATGAATAAGCATAAAAACTTTTTTTTGTATATATATATAAATACTTCCTAATTGGTGGTAGGGTTATCCCTATCACCCTCTTACTGGAGAAGTACAGATGAAAGTGCTACTGGCAGGTAGACTCTAAAGATTAAAACCCCTCAATTCTCTGGCCTTGACAAGCACTTAACACCAGATCAAGGTCAGATCAGGTAAATAACAGTGATATTACATAAAGTTACCTGGACAGAGCGTGGCACTTAGCCCTCTCCACCCTCTTACATTAATGCCCTACCAATCTGTCATAGTTGACCAGAAACCAGTTCTGTGGCTGTCATCCCACTAATGCTATATAAAAAGTTCATTTAGCTCTGTCTCAAGCAAAGCCAACAAGTGAATTTAGGAGCCCGTAAATGAATTACTGGTCCAGTGCGGATACCAAACGGAGTCCATTATTGTTCCTTTGCAGGAAAACACAGATTGTCAGCATGCAGAGCTTGGGCTACAAAACACAAATAATGTATTTGATGACATTTGCCAATGAATCAATGTTACTGGAGGACTCCCAGAGCTCAACAACAGCAATATGTCCGAGAGCTTGGAGATCCTCTTTTTTGCAAGCAGTACCCAGCTCAGTCCCACTGGGGCAATTCACCTAAGCCTGAGTCTATGGCTGGCAAACGTAGGAAAAGCAATAGAATCCTGCAAATGACATGGTTCATCTCAAATAGAAGTTTGCTACTTCCGGCAGCTTCAGAACGTCGGGGGCTGGCTTTCCCCATGATTATACACCAGCAGGGTAACTCATAACTCTGAAATTTGAATCCCCCTTCGTTCTGGAGAAGTTACTACTATATAATCACAAAATGATTATTCTATTTCCTTCTTTCTTGGATTTATCTGCTATCTGGGAGAGTATCATTCACTTCGTAGCTGTTAACTGATGAAATTCTGAGGGATCTGCATACAACTGAAGGGGTTTATTTCGGAAGGATTATTCTGAATTTTCAGTTAGACTCTGTTCACAGGTCCCCAGTGTCATCCTGGAACAAGTCATCCCTTGTAAGTTACTTCTTGCAAATTGTGTTTGACCTGTGATTAGGGAAATGAGATTTAGGGTTTAAAGTATTTCTTTTTGAAAGAGAACTTCATTTTTCTTTTTGGACGCTGGTCCGTTTACGATAAAGTTACCCAAAGAGGTCTTCTAACCAACTGAAGATCAACATAGACTGTGGCTTGGTTTGGAAAACTTTCATTACGAATGTAGTAGGGCCGTGTGAACACCTTCACAGGTGCCAGGCACTTTGGAAGGGCCCACTCCATGGTATAGCAGAACCTATTTATATTCACTCATCATAGATTAAACAAATCTGAATGGAGCTCCGAAAGTTGAGTTGAGTTCCAATGGCGTCAAGTCCATGTTTTAGATAGCTAAACGTTTCCCCCCAGTTTTTAAGTTTTCTTATTTTGAAGACAGTAACTTTTTCTTTCCCCCAGATCTCCACCGTCTTCTAATGGCCTTGAGAAGCCAGAGGCGGCCCACATTGAGTCTACAGAGCCTAATGGATACATCGGCTCCCCAAATCGGTTCCCGTGTTGTTACTTTTGCAGGCCTATACTTGTCACCTGAGTTCAGCTAATCATTTTCTTAGTTCTTTAGTCTCTCAGTTCATTAAAAAGAACCACACAACTAGAGATTTCCAGCACATCAGCTAGTCTGTATATCTAGGACGAAGCGATCTCCCAGGGACATAAAACCCTGAGTGCTTTAACATCAATTAAAATTTATTTTTTTTTTCAAGGTCAGTTTGGACAGCAAGGTTTGTTTTTCGAGCAAAACCAAATAGGGAAAATAGATCTATGTGAAAAGTGGTTCGGATTCAGTGGCATAGTAGCATTTTACTGCTCAGTCACTACTAAATGATCTAACACCCAGGGTGTGTGTGGGGGGGTGGGAATTTCCATTTTAACTTAAATCTGGAGCTGTGTATGAAGCTCTGGGTAGATCCTAGAGTTTGATCCTAAGGTCTCTCTGCTGGGTTTTGTAGGAATCCTGCTGTGATGATCCGAGCTGTAGCGTTTTGCTCAGGTACTGAGCTAAAAGGAATTGCCTCATCAGCTCTGCAAGCTCTTCCAGCCAAACCCCAAGCTTCATCTGGACTTCGCTTAAGTGTCTAGGATAATAGATTCCAGGCGCCTTGGCTCATAGGCTTGGAGACCAACACTGCCCGACAACCCGTCCCAGGCATGGCTCTGAATGTCCAAAATCGCCGGCCTGGCATTTTCTCTTGAAGACACTCTAGAAGAAACCCCCTGTGCAGAGGCCCAGGTTTTACTTTCCAGTCCAGTGATAAAAGCTTTAATCTAATCCCCAAAGTTCTGGATCATACCCTCAGGATGCAGAACAAGAGCAGGGCCGCCTTTCCACTGGAGCCCAGGGGGGAGAGGCCTCACGGGAGAGGAGGCGAAGGAGAGAGCAGGATGGAGGGAAGACGGGGCTCTGAACCCCGCTTCCTTCCCCTTCCGCCTCGCACAACCCCTTAAAGGGGCTGCAGAGAAAAGCCTGCGGTGGGTGCCCCGGGTGGAGGGCCGGGATCCGGGCCTGGACCGGGTGATGATGCGCGGCCTCCCTTCCCCATGCATTCCTGCAAGCTGCGTGCACCCCAGGGTCAAGGGGGGTCAACCCCCCGCAGTGGGGTTCGCTGCTCCCTGAGGATGAGACTCTCGGTCTCGCCCAGGGACAAAGGCCCCGCTCCCTCCCGGGGGCTGTCTCTGCCGCCCCCGGCCCCCACCCCGCCCTGGGCGCCCAGGGGAGCCGGCGGGCCCCGCGGCGGGCCCCTGGGGGGCCGAGCCCCCGCCTTACCAGGGTTTTGGCTACGTTCCCCCTCTGGGTGATGTTTTTGCTGTGCTTCTCGTTGGCCATCCGGATCCGCTGCTTGGCCACCATGGCTGGGCGCTAGCCCCGGCACGAGCCCCCGCGACCGCGACCGGGCGGCGGGCGACAGCGACAGGGCGGCCGCGGGCGCTGCAGGTGGCAGGCGCGGCCCCCGAGCCCCGCGCACCCCGCTCCAGCCCCCCGCGAGCCGGCTCCGGAGAGAGGCCAGAGCCCGGACGGAAGTAATCTTTCATCTCAGGAAACCGTCTCCTACTTCCTCGCCATCCTTCCGGTCCCCCCTGCTACCTAACCAGCGCGGCCTCCCCAACCTGGGCGGCGGGAGCGCAGCGCGGGGGCCCGGCCCGGGGGGGGGGGGGGGGCGGGGAGGGGGCAGCACGGGGGGGGGCGGACCTGCGGGAGGGGGAGGGGCGGGAGGGGCGGGAGGGGAGGGGGCAGCACGGGGGGCGGACCTGAGGGGTGGGGAGGGGGAGGGGCGGGAGGGGCGGGAGGGGAGGGGGCAGCACGGGGGGGGCGGACCTGCGGGAGGGGGAGGGGGAGGGGCGGGAGGGGCGGGAGGGGAGGGGGCAGCACGGGGGGACCTGCGGGGTGGGGAGGGGAGGGGGTGGGGAGGGGAGGGAGGGGAGGGGGCAGCACGGGGGGGGCGGACCTGCGGGGTGGGGAGGGGGGACGGGGGGCGGGGAGGGAGCAGCACGCGGGGGGGGGGGTGACCTGCCGGGTAGGGATGGGGGGACGGGGGAGTGGAGGGGAGGGGGCAGCACGGGGGGACCTGCGGGGTGGGGAGAGGGGCCGGGGGGCGGGGAGGGAGCAGCACGCGGGCGGGGGTGACCTGCCGGGTAGGGATGGGGGGACGGGGGAGTGGAGGGGAGCAGCACGCGGGGGACCTGCCGGGTGGGGATGAGGAAGGGGGGAGGGGAGTGGGGGGCTAGCACGGGCGGCCCGGCCCCGTGTGGGTGGGGGAGGGGGCGGGGAGGGGGCAGCACGTGGGACCCCTGCCGGGTTGGGATCTACGGGGAGGGGGCGGGGCAGCACGGGGGGGGCGGGGCCCTGCCAGGTGGGGACGGGGAGGAGGATGGGGAGGGGGGCAGCACGGGGCCCTGCCGGGTGGGGATCGATCAGGGGGGCGGTGGGGGGGGCAGCACGGGGGCAGGCGTGGGGGGTTCCTCAAAGGACACAGCAGAGCGGGGGCGAGGCAGGGCCCTTGCTGTCGGGGACAGCCCCGAGAACCCCGGGGCAGGGGTCTGGGGAAGGGGGCCTGCGCCCGGGAGCCCCTTCCCTGCAGGACCTTGGTCGAGCGCTGCCGAAAGCGCGGGGACTCCGCGAGGGTGGGGATCAGTGGGCGCGAGGCTGGACTTGGGCGCGTGGCCTTGCCCTGGAGGCCGAGGGGCCACACGCGGGAATGACAGCGGGCAGGCGGCAGGTGTGGCGCAGACAGGTGTGGGGGCTGGGGGGGGGCCCGGCCGCCTTTGGCCCCGCCCGCGGGGCGGTTGGAGCTTAGCCCGAGGGACCTGGACTGGGAGGTTCCTGGCACCGCAGGGATGACAGCTAGAGTGTGGGTGACTCACGGGCACTAGTGTTGGGCCCCGCAGATTGCCTGCTTCCGGGGCGGGGGTGGGGGGGGCGTTCAGTCCCTCACTTTTCCTTGCGCCCCAAGACTTGAGGTTAGCTCTCAGCAGCTCGGAAGAGTGGAGAGCGGGGTGGGGGGGGAACGCCTGCAGGTCTGGAGGGTGGGCGGTGGTGGGGGAACCTGCTTGGGGCCCTGCGCCCCAGGCCTTCCCTGGGGGCACGGTAGGGCCCTGCTTGGATAGAGGGCCCCTGTCATCCTCCCCCTCCTCCTGCAGCCTGTCATCCAAGCTCCCACACAGAGGGCTTGGGGGCTGCTCTAGGTGGCCCAGAAGGGGCCGGCATCAAGCAGGGTCATTACTTCTTCTAAAGTCAGTTAAGTTTCCACAGTAGTTCCCACCAACATCACCACCCTTACCACAGGCCTACAAACCAAGCAGGCCCCCCCCTTTTTTTTTTTTAAGATTTATTTATTTATTTATTTTTTATTTATTTATTTTTATTTATGATAGACATAGAGACAGAGGCAGAGACACAGGCAGAGGGAGAAGCAGGCCCCATGCAGGGATCCCGATGGGGGACTCGATCCCAGGACTCCAGGATCACACCCTGGGCCAAAGGCGGGCACTAAACCACTGAGCCCCCCAGGGATCCCCTAAAGCAGGCCCATTTTTAAAAGACCCTCGCTCTTTGTCACGATGGGCTCTGTTGGTGGGGCCGCATGAGAGAGGGCCACCCCGCCCCCGGGCTGAGGCACCTGCCTGGGGAGGAGGTAGAGGGTGAGTTCCCCCCTGAGTTGAGGACACACCTGGCTCTGAGGGACAGTAAGGAAAAGCTACAGAGATGTTTGTCCCTTTGGGCCTATAAGCTGAAAACCATTCTTTTTTTTTTTTTTTTTTTTTTTTTAAGATTTTATTTATTTATTCATGAGACACAGAGAGAGGGAAAGGCAGGCTCCATGCAGGGAGCCCGACCTGGGACTCCATCCCCGGACTCCAGGATCACACCCTGGGGCCGAAAGCAAGCTCTAAACTGCTGAGCCACCCAGGGATCCCCCCTGAAACCCGTTCTTAACTGAGAAGCCTGCCTTCCCACAGGCTCAGGTGAGCCCCTTGTTTGGGGGAAAAAATTCCTTCTTGGCCCCTGATTCCTGCTTGGTGGAGGCTAATTTTGCTCCTTTTTCTTGCCTTGCTTTGCTTCTACATCATTTAAAATGTATTCGTTTTAATTTATGTGTAGCCTGCACGCTCAGAGTCAACCTGCCAACAGAAATCGGATATATACAGTAAAAACTGAAGGTTTTTTTTTTTTTCTCTGTCTCTCTCTCTCACTAATTCCCACGGGTCCTAGGTTACCCTTCCAGCATTTTTTATTCATTCATAACCCGCCTGCATATTTCCTTTTTAAAAACAAACAGAATCATACTAGACAAACCGTGCGGCCACTTACTCTTCTCTCTCAGTTTATTGACAGTGTTATCACGTCTACTTATAAATCATTTTTATTTTTCATACATGCATACTATCCCTCAACATGATTATATGGAATGTACTGGATTATTGCTAGACAGTCACTTCCGATGTAAGTGTGTGTTTGCTTGCAATGCGCACATCCCTGCCCACCTGCCTTTATGTACTTGTGCAAGTAAATGTGTGCAAGAGATTGCCGGGCGGGGCCTTGCTGCACCTTTTCAAGGTCCTGGGTGGAGAGATTGCTGCTGATTTGGGGGGAGCCAACCTGCTGTGACTTCCACCGTACTCGGGCCTGTTCCTCTGTGGATCTCAGTCCTCTTTATGTCCCCTGAGCATCAGCATTATTTGCTAGGAAAGCTTTTCCCTTCCCCCTTGGATTCTGTCCCTGCCTCTCCTCAGCCTTCAGCTGGACCTGAACTAGAGGTTGAGCTGGCTCGTCCCAGAGGCTTTTCTGCAGGGAAGCTGGGGCCAAGGTCTGAAGGTGTGTCCCCAGAGTTCCGGAGTAACCACAAGGTTAAGAAGGAGCAAGGCCCTGGGTTGTCTTGTTTTTTTATTTTTATTTTTATTTATTTTTATTTTTATTTTATTTTATTTTATTATTTTATTTTATTTTATTTTACTTTACTTTATTTTACTTTATTTTATTTTATTTTATTTTATTTTATTTTATTTTATTTTATTTTATTTTATTTTATTTTATTATTTGTTTTTTTGAGGTGGGAGGACCTAGGAGAGGAATGGAAACTTGATCAAGAGTTAAAAGTTCCCTTGGGTTAATTCGTGCTGGCAGCAGGAATTTTATAACATGCCGGTAGCATGCAGTGCTCAACCACAACTTCTAAAACGGCCCTGGGTAACGTAGCAGGAAACTGCTAAATGATTAAAATTTAATTTTGGCCAGTAATTTTTTCAACCTTTAGAGCAAGAATCCTAACCAGCCCTCCCTACATTAATCATGAGTCTGCCCCACTTAGGGTACTAGGCTTGCGACTGTAGACTCTAGGTTTCACCCACCTTTATAAATGATGTATTATCAAAGTGTACAGATGCTACACTCTTGAGTTGTGAAGTAGTGCACACCTGTCATTTTTCTGTGGCTGACCAGCATGCAAATCTCTTTTCTCTTTGGGGGACTCCCTGACTGCATGCAAGTTAGGACCTTCTTTTCCAATATAGAAGCCCAATGGGACAGATATGGCGTATCTTATTGTGCTTTGTTCTCTCATGCTTTGCAAATATTATGATTTTTTTTAACAAGTTTAAGGTTTGTGGGCACCTGGCGTCGAGCAAGTCTATGGGTGCCATCTTTCCAACAGCAGTTGCTTATTTCACGTCCCTGCGTCGCAGTTTAGCAATTCTTGCAATGGTCAAACTCTTCCATTATTTTATCTGTTACAGTGATCTGTGATCACTGTGTACAACTCACTGAAAGCTCACATGATGGTTAGCATTTTTTAACAATAAAGTATTTTTAAAGTAAGGTATGTACTTTTTTTTTTAGTTGTAATGCTATTGCACACTTACTAGACTACAGTACAGTGTAAACATAACTTTTATGTGCCCTGGGAAACAAAAAACCTTATTTGATTCACTTTATTGTGATACTCATTTTAATGTAGGAGTCTGGAACCCAAACCTGTAGTATCTCTGAGGTGTGCCTGTATTTGGCTGGGAGGTATGGCCCAGCTTGGCCAATCATATGCTCCGTTTGGGGCTTTGAATTTTGAACAAAAAGGACAAAAACAAAAGGATAAGGTACTGTCACCCTGGTAGTGGGGTACCCAAGAGGCAAGCAGCATTCAGCAGTGGAGAGGGTGGTGGCGGTGGAGTGGGGGGTGAGACCCACTGGTTTTGTGGTACCTGAAATTCTTAGACTCCTCTTCTGCTTCCATTGACCAGAGGTTATTTGTGTTGTTTACATCCAATAACCCTGACTCATGTGCATGACAACCAACAACAACAACAACAACAACAAACCAGAAAGTCTTGGCTTGGTCATTTCCCCTTCCAAATCTGGAATGATTGTCATGTCACTTGAAGCCTTCAGACACTGTTAGCCAGTGGTCCTTCCTCACCAAGGGGAACTGAGTCTAGAGGCCTTGGTGACAAGTGTGGGTAGCCAGTTCTCGAGTATGAATGGGGATGATTAGCAGACACAACTGCTTACATA